ACGGTTTTCTGCTGACGAATTGAAGACCCCTTATCTCTTGATGGCTCGGTGCTATATCCGCTCCTATTCTCGGTCTAGACGGCGCCTTGGGTGATAAACGAACGACAAAAACTCGCATTACTCATGATGACGTCGATCAACTTTGCACTCTTCCCACGACGAAATTAAATCTGAGCGAAATTAAATCTATCGGACCATAGTCTTGAGCGAACCGAAATGCCCAAACACAAAATTTCTAACCGGAACAAATAATGAAATATACAGGGTGACCTGCACTATCATGACAAGAAATTTCGAAATTTTTAATGAAATTTGGCGCGAAATAAAACCACTCGTTACACCACACATAATCGTTTATGACAGGGACAAATGTGCGTTCTAAGTGATTGGCAAAAGCCTCGCATTTTTCTTCATTCTGCAGTATAAAGCCCATCAAATGTCTTAATACCGGATTAAATAATAATCCTGGATTTTTTTTGTGCAACTGGCCGTTATATATCAATTTAATAAATTTAGGGGAAATAATTCCAATACATTTCAAAAATATCAACCCCGAAAGCCGTATAATCAATCAATCAATCAAAACTTCAAAAAGTATACTCAACCGAATCATCAATACGTAGGGAAAAATTGCGCGCGTGGAAGTTTCTATAGAACTTACAAGACTTCCTATAACTGCTATGGTCGTCCTGTTTACGTCAAACCATACCGATTACCACATGCTCGAAATCAGAAGTGAATAATCAAGTAGAAGTGAACTGTTTGAAATTATGGATTCTACAGACCGCATTCTGTAAGAAAATTTTTTTCCGGGTCGATCTGAGACAATTTTTTTTTTCGGGGCTCAAAAAAAGGCAGTGTATAACCTTCCTTTTTTACCAAAAATCGACTACACCAAAATTTCTCGGGAAAACACTTTTCTTATTAATTTTGGTGCGTAGAATCCAAAACAATTCGTACTTTTTCGATTAGACTTCTCAATCAAAAGTTATAGACTAGAAACCAATTTCGAAAGAAAATTCAAAAGGCTGTAACTTTTGAACTAGTAGCCCAATCTTGGAACTGTTTGAAATTATCGATTCTACAGGCCACATTCTATAAGAAAATTTTTTTTCTGGGTCGATCTGAGACAATTTTTTTTCGAGACTAAAAAAAGGCAGTGTATAACCTTCCTTTTTTACCACAAATCAAGATACACACATTGGTTTCGAATATATAAAATTATATGTTCAAAAATCATATATATTTGCAACAATAAGGTATAATAATCAATATAATACAGTTTTCTTGTACTTATACTGCCATATTGTATTGGCCCAACGCCCCAACCCTCAAAATCTCTGGAACATCACATTATAAGTGGTATAGAATTATCTATAAACTTCACCAAAATTGCGAGCCACGTACACATACGCACTGAACTGACTGTCGACTGAACAAAAACCGCATACAATATACAATACAGAGCTTTTAATAATTTAATGCAACCTTTGCAACGGTTATTCTCAAAATAAGCTTATGCTTATCTTGCAGATTCATTACAATTACATCATATGTTAAAAATTGCTCTTGGATATATTTAAATATCTAAGGTCATATTTAATATAATATCATTATTATAGTGAGAATAATGTTGATTAGACATATTCATATTGTACAGCGTGTGTCAAAGTTTGTTTGATTTTATAATAGCTTCTCGTACTGATTACAATATAATTTTTACTATATGATTTTAACAATCCATTTTTCTCCGTTTTTCCATGACTTGGGAAAATACTTCTGAAACAAGCGCTGAATATTGAACTTAGCGATGCTAGGGTTTTTGGAATGACATGCAGGTAACTAATTTAAACAAATCTTAACATAATATAAAATAAATAGATAAATAAATATATCGGGAGCTACCATGCTCTGATTCATTTAAAGAAGCTGTGTTGCTGCATGAAAACCCGTTGGGCGTAATATTAACCGAAAACACTTATGCAAAACATGTGGTAAAAAAGATGGATCTAACCAATAAAGCTACCCGATTACCAGAAATTTTCTGACAAACATTTTCAAATTTAAACGTAACAAGTTTAATTTGTTGTATTACAAAGTTTCGGTAGCCTTGGCGTAGCGCGAGATGTAAACATGTACTAGAACTTGTTGTTATTGATACGGGTACATCGGTGAACCGTTGTGACATTCATAAATAAGATCCAGCACATATAACCATAAATTTTTAACGCATTATGTTAATTCAGAATCGAGTAATATAAAATTAAAGATAGATTGTGCGCCATCCGTTAGCTACTCAAGATAAGCTAAAAGCAAAATTGGATAGCCTGCAAGATTTAAAAATAATCAGTAAAATATAAAAGACGGAAGGATTAATTAGTTATTTGGCAATTACTTATAGAAGAAGTAACGGTGCTTTACGGTAATCATATGACGTGCAAACAAATTATGGGAACTAATTCCCCGTTTTCGCAGCTCGAACAAAAACATTACCAGTATGAATGACTTAGTGGAATTTTAATTCAGAAAGAGGATCGAAAATTTACAATTCATACCCAAGTTGCAAGTATAATCGCAGTGTATCTTTGGAACCAACGATGTGTTAAAGTAATGATCTTTCTAAACCGTGTCGTTTTTATTTTATTTGCAATTTCGATAACGATCTCCTGGGTCGTCGCTATAGATTACTAATTGGAGAGATTCGTCGTTAGAAATGCGGCAACATGCTATCGATGTTCCTCAGCATCAGTAATAGCATATTCCTCTCGCTAAGGATATAGCCTAAAAGTGTAATTTAGTGGCACTTTCCAACAAACCGGGCAATTATCGCAAGTGCAATGCTACACTCTACCCTATCATTAGCGCATTTAATAACACTATAAATTTTCACTAACAAGCTTCTAACACCTAAAATTAATAATAACAGTAATAGAGAAGGTAACTGTTAAATAAGTTATTTGCCGATAATGATAACGTTAGTACATTTTTTGGCATAAAAAAAGTGATGCAACAAACATGCGAAAGAGTAGATGAATTCTAAGAAAAGTTTTATTAATGAACAGATTTCATTATTGAACGGTAGACCTCACATGCAGTATATCATTACGAAGATAAGTAATTGCATCCTCCACTTTGGGATAATTGTCCTACCTACCAAACAAAATAATGCATGTTCAGAGCGTAAGTAAACTGAAATTTTCGTGATGGCTTAGGAAGTTTATCACAATTACATCCCCAATTCTAGACAGAGCAAAAATATAGGTAACGTTATAACGTCGGTACATCTAGTTTTTAAAGACAATTTGTGTGGTCTTAATGGTAGGATACGGTAAATTTTCACGATAGTTAATGTCTGGAATATACACAATAAGCGATCGTAAATATGCTTTATTCCGATCGTATGTAAAGAATATGCCGAAACAGCTAAGAAGTGCAATATAAATGAATCCGTTCGTGCTACTAATGCTCTTCTCTTGATATTTGACGTTTTTATTACCGATTGCGTTTTATATTCGTTGCTGGAGGATTTCTTAGCTCATTATTATTTGTGCCTTACTTGTGCACAGCTTGTAAATGCCGAAAGCTCACTGACTGTGAGAATATTATGGTGGTGCCTTCCTGGTCTTTTTAACATATTGATCAATTAAAAGAAGCGTTCGCATTCTCCTTCCAGATAAGTACGGAAATTGTACCCCTATTATAGGTACATAGGCACACGTAGTTTCTTATGTCGTATTTTACCGAATTGGTGAAATTCACTTGATCTTGATCGTAAGTTAAACACATAAGTGATAAATGGGGCCTTATAATAACGAAGCAGTCAAACTATGATGATATAATTAACGCTTATTTTATGTGAGCCTGTTCTGTGGACTACATAGAAGTGAAATCTCTTTAGAAAAGGAAAACATAGTTACGAATGTACATTTTTTTGTTCTGTTGTTTTAATACATGCCTACCACTCGTTGTATCGTTTTGTTAGCGTCATATCTACCTTTCAGGTAAATAAACTTTTAAAGCATGCGTTGAAGCAGAATAATTTTACCCTTACGTTAACGTTCTAGATATACATACCACCCCACAAGCGCGATCCATTGAAACAATTACACGGGGAAAAATGTATGCTAAAGGTAATTGAAAATATAATAATAGCTATCAAAAAATATAATACGTATAGGGATAGCTATGAAGAATTATAAAATTTATCATATACATATTGTTGCAAGTGTACTTATAGCTAATTTTATTTTACTATATATTATTTTAACTCATACAAAAAAACTGTATGTAACGGCAACCATCTCATATGCATGCTTTTGTAATACGGGAGTAGTTGAATTAACATCTCCGCTTTGTATTAATAAGTAACTTAGATTATTGCACAACCTGCCAAAAATCGACTGCACCAAAATTTCTCAGGAAAACACTTTTTCTTATTAATTTTGGTGCGTAGAATCCAAAACAATTCCTACTTTTTCGATCAGACTTCTCAATCAAAAGTTATAGACTAGAAACCAATCTCGAAAGAAAATTCAAAGGGCTGTAACTTTTGAAATAGTAGCCCAATCTTGGAACTGTTTGAAATTATGGATTCTACAGGCCACATTTTTTTCCGGGTCGATCTGAGACAATTTTTTTTCGAGGCTAAAAAAAAGGCAGTGTATAACCTTCCTTTTTTACCAAAAATCAGGATACACACATATTGGTTTGGAATATATAAAATTATAAGTTCAAAAATCATGATATATTTGCAACAATAACTAATAAGGTATAATATCATTATTATAGTGAGAATAATTTTGATTAGACATATTCATATTGTACAGCGTGTGTCAAGGTTTGTTTGATTTAATAATAGCTTCTCGTACTGATTACAATAGGTATAATTTTTACTACATGATTTTAACAATCCATTTTTCTCCGTGTAATTAACGAAATCTTAATTACCTTAAAGGGTTCTATAACTCATGCACAAACACAAACAAAAAATGCACTTTAGTTATTGCACTTAAATGTCAATTGCGATGACACTGGGTTCATTGTAATTACTGGTGTAAAGTTAGCTCTTGGATTGTAGAACAAACTGCCTTTAACAGATAAAAGCTTCACAAAACCGAAAAATGCTTGTACGACAACACTCCGAATAACATCTTTGTAAACTTCACTTCTATAATTTCTAACGAAGCACCCAGTTTCCGAAAGTTTTGGTGATCACTCTGTGTTTGAACGCCCGGTATAAAAAGGCGCCTCGTTACGAAAGTGTTGTGCCGAAAGTATTTCTGTTGGGCCTAGAGGAGTTGAAAATAGAAGTTAAAGGTGATGGAGGTGATGGAGGTAATTCCTAGAGTATTTCAGCCGCAGTCATTTTGAAGACTAGAGCAAATTAATATTTTTGAATTTCAGCCATGATAAGCGCCTATTAGCAAGTTTTGTTTCGTATGGTAAATTTAAAACGAACATTGGAACTGCAAGGTCATGCAGGTTTAGCTTATCAGCTTGTTAATTGATTACCGATTTTGGAATTTTTAATACGGCCAATTACGTGAGTGAAATTAACAGTAGTTAAATAAAGGTGTTGCAGTAAACGTCATTCGATTGGGGCGTCCTTAGTGTCAAATTAAGCGCGCACACTTAAGAAGAATTATGAGCCCCGTCTTCGGGCGTTGAAGTAAAGATTTTCGAGCTCTATCGCAAGGCAAGCCGTCAAACTGAGGAAAACCGTCGATCACGGCATGGCACAATCGATATATTTATATAAGGTAAACGTTTGATTTAGAAGACCTCTTTTACCTTTTGCATCCTCGCCAGTTGTCTTATATCCGTGCCATTCTGCAGCTCCGATCCGATTAAAAGGTAAGCGTGTACTTTTAAAATGTAGAGGGGGGATATTGTTCCGTGTCCCTGCACTTGCTTTTAATTATTTAAGTGACACGCTTCAGTATCTTAGAGGTACGTCGCTCAGAGTGGATAAATGGAAAGACAGAAAACCTAGAAATCGTTTAAAATATCAAGAACAATTTGATTTCCTTTATACCACCATAATGGCAATGAGTCCAATCCTCCCTAGTCGATCCTTGTCACGTTGAGTTCACTTTCATTAAGTTCAGAGGGTATGTAAATATTACCTACATCTGTAATTATAAGAAAGAAGCACAGTTAATGAAGATAAAAGTTACAAAAATCGAGTAAAATATTGTTTTCCTCTGTAGCACCCAAGCAATAGGTTCAGTTCTCCTACGCTGGTTCTTTTTTTTTAAATAATAATAATGAATTTATTGTCTAACGGCAAAACACGCCAATTCTAAGACAATTTAGAAAAATTACAATGAATGTACATAGGTACAATAATAAACGCTAAATGAGAAAAAAAAATAATAAAAAATAGTAATCGTTTTAGCGGACTACTGAAAGAGGAGGGACACCCTTGGTGGATCAAGAACTATACTTGGCTAATACAAAATGAAGTATAGTTTTCTGTTCTTCTAAGTTAAGTGATTTGGATTGACTGTTCCGGCCATGAAGAATGGCTAAATGAAAATAACGAAAAATATAATTAATAAAATCTGGCTCGATAGCATTTTTTTTTAATTTACGGAACGAAAATCAAACTGCGGCGGCACCCCAAGACTACCGTAGAAAAAATCGATTACCCGTTCTTCTTTTTTTTGTCGATTCAAGAATGAATTGCAATTTTGAAACAATATAATTAACGAAAAGGATTTTGGCGTGTAATAGCCAATTATAAACCGTTATCCGAAAATCGTGCCGTATTAAATTTCACCACCTTACCCTCGAAAATTTTATTTCGCACGAGATGCGCTATCTTGAATTATTATATAGGAAAGGCGCTAAAGTTATCCCTTAATTTTTTAATGGCCGTTTTGTGATCTCTGACGAAAATCGTGCAATCTAATGGTGTTAAATTGGTTTCGCTTTTTCAATATATTTTGTAAATGTTCCCATAAATATTATACCCCTTATTATGTGTTATTTATACCGAGTTTTTTGGTTTGGAGGCTCAAAGTGAATTTTGGGGTTAAGCCGGCTTAAAATTTGAAATAGATAACATCCGTTGCAAGTTGCGGCGCTACCTACTAATAGTATTAACTAAAAAGTTTTTTGTGTATTAAAATATGGTTGATCTAAAGCCTACTGTTAACACCTCCGGGGGTTTGATTTATGGATTTCGCTCTTATCCAACACGATCTAAATAGTAGTGGAACTCTTATTATGACTGGATCAGATATGAAAACACTTAAAATAAGATAGGTACGTTTATCGAAGGTATTAATAATTCTCCCACCCGATAATTTAAGGCTGCGAGCTTTTTCGTTACCGCAACATAAAATCGGAAGTTGCTGACAAACTACAAATACACTTAAGTCGATGCTTTTAAGATGTTCTCACAAAGCCCCAAAGTGTGTGTGTTTACTTTTTTTTAATTAAAAATATAGGGCACTTCAGGGACTTAAATGGCTTCCAAATATTTGTATAGGTTTGGGAGCAAACGAAATTAGATCGGCTCGTATTACAGACGTCGAACGGCTCGCATTCGGTTAATTGCAAAAATTAAGAAGACCGCTGCGTTGTGGGCGGAATTTAATTTCGGTCTTGACTCCTTACTGTTGTAAAACAAAACGAAGGAATCATAATTTACCTTAGGTTCGTCCGAATGATTATCGCACGTACGCCTTCAACGCTTCAAGCGCCGATGAACCCTTAAACAAACATCAACGTTGTTTCTTGTTATTTTAATATCTTATTTCGTATTGCCCTTGGTTAGTATTGTGCAAATACTATAGTGAATTATGTGCGTTATCCTCCGATCTCGTGGTTTTAAACGTTGATTTCAATATTATTTTCTGTAAGTGAATGTGAAAAATAAACAGAAGAGAGTACGATGATACATTGTTTAAGTTTAAAGATCGAAGCTTTATGAGATTTCAGTATTTCTTGCGTGAGACTCTGGGATTAACCAATTGAATAATTATACGTATACGCGCTTAAATTATTGTTATTATTAGTTTATTTCCTACTATATTTTATAATTTAAATGCAAGTAATGACGTGAATTGAAATGCAATTGCTTACAACAATTTATGGATCGTAATAATTTACGTTCAATCTTATTGAATGTACCGGGATACCTACCCTATATTATTTCTGTGATGATCGCAACATCTTCAAAGGTCATCGACAATAAATTGTTTATTTGAGATGTGCTTTATTTATGACATGCGCTACGTGAAAGTACCCAGATCGTTTACCATAGCTTAAAGCTCGATTGTGAAACACACATCGTTCCATAGTCTTTACGTTATGCGCTTAATTGTGGTATGTCGGCGTGATGAAAATACCTTTGTTTCCCCCTTTGGTCGTTTTGTGTGCCAATGTCTTATACATTACTTATTTTTGTGGAAATTCATCGATCACGTTTGAAAAAGTGCATAAAGCACCAACCGGAGCTTAAAATACAATGACAACTTTGAATAATGGCTTCCTAACAAAATATTTAGTACAGAATTTTATGACAAGTTTTTATATCGCCCGTTTGTGAATGGACCACCAATTAAGCCAATATGGAAATAGAATTGGAAGTCCACATAAATATAAGAGAACGTGAACTGAATTATAACAATACATCGAATTAAATCAATTATAAGTTAAATTTTTTGTGTTAAATGCAAAAAGAGGACGCCATTCAATAAATATAATTAATAGAACAATACAAATGGTCGCCTTTATCTGTAAGGGTTTAAATCACCATACACATCTTTAGATGTTTAATCTGATCCATTTTGATAACGTTGCTGTTCTATAATTAAAAGTTGAAATATTAAGTTCACTTTTCGTTGGGGTTTTTAATTACAGATCGACGATTGGAAATTAAATCTGCGTATTGATTTATGAAGTATGAGAACGATTTGTTGCTACTGTATTTGCATACGACTTCTCGCAAGGTTGAGGTTTAGTGACGGTATTAAACATCAATCGCAAGTAATCGGAAGATTTCAAGGATTTAAGTAAACACTCCTTATTACTTATGCAAAGTAGGGTGGAATTAAAAGCAAATTAGCATGTGGGCACCCGCATGGCTGCTAACGACCAACGCGATTAATTCGCAATTTGCAATAATTTTTTGCTATTGAAGTATAATTATTACATTACGGTTTGCAAAACCAGTAGTATTCTAATTAATAAATTCACACGTATCTTGAGCGTCTTGACCATATTGAAATATCGCTTTTCTATAGCACTGTTGTGTAAACTTTCCGAGATACAACACAATAGTTTTCAGGAAGCATCCTTACAAAGAAAACTGGGAAGGTGTAGGATGAGAAGTAATGTACAGAAACCCACAGTAGATGTCCATTTTATTTAGAAATCTCCTTATAGATACTTCCCAAAACGCTGGCGGGATAGTTTTGTTTTTTGGTTGTCATGGATATCGGAAACCAATAAATCGCGCAATTTTATTTATTTCAAACTGTCCTTACATTTTTCTCTGCAAAATGGTGATTACTGCGGTGTCTTGAGATAAACTAATACTCGCAAGAATTGTAATTATGCACATAACCTGAAAACTGGAGCTGGAAACTTGGCAGTAATTGGCTTGTTACACTCTCAATGACAGCACCAGCACCAGAAAATTTAATGAAATTTATTTCATGCATTTCATGTACTTGTCGAAAGAAATGCCGGCGCAGCATGTGGTTGCAGGACAAAATTTACTTAAAATAATTGGCATTGCAAGATTAAATTTAGAAAATGGTAGTTGACCGAGTACAATAATATAATAATAGGCTGGGAAAAAAACAACTGACCAAGAAAAAATCAGCCAACAAATTAGTATTAAATTTTATAGCAAAATTCGTTTTTTAGTCTGTATTGACATAAATGCATGTTATGATTATCGAGTAAATTAATATAATGTTGAATCACAGGCTTCACTGGGAAGGAGCATAACGTTAAGTAAGTATCACATTACAACGAAACAAAGTCGTGGCAAAATATTAGTATAAAGTACTTAATTCTCAATGCCAAGTGCAATATGTAACAATCAACGACCTAACGTACGTCACTCGCCCCCAGGTGAAGCACCCTGTAAATAAACAGTAACATATTCATGCAAAAGAAAGAAAATGTGCTACAAGAAATTCTATTATAAATTAACAATGTAGTGTCGATGTTTTCAAATACAGCACCATCCACGAATCGCTATAAATTATAATATTAATTACATTCTGCATACATCTCTAAGACAACATACTGTATCTAAATATAAATTAAAATACGTAAATCGGTCAGTAATTCATATTGCGGTTTGGCAGGTAAAACCAGCACCAGGAACAAAGGGATACTGTAAATTGGAAACCAACATATTTACATAGAAAATATAATGGAATCTTGCATTTAATTCAAAGTATGATCAGTATAATTATAAAAGGGCAATTTGTATTTAGAATGAGTTATAAATGACAATACCCATGCTGTACGGGAATGTCGTTAATTTGGCAAATAATCTAACACGATCACTAGAAGGACGCAATAGACGTAAAGATAAAAAGATACGTTACCATTGTAATTGTCGAAGCTGCATCATTATTCGAAACGTAAAAATTACTTCTGCCCTCAACAAAACCACAAATATCTCTGTCCAAATTTCCCCTTTAATCCTAGACGAAAATTGTTAATATTGACGCGCCCGGTCGTCGGTAGATATGGATCATTAACTTTCCTCGTCTAGCATTTTATTGTA